TGTTTCTAGGAATTATTTAATTTCATTCTTTATTTCTTATAATAAATTTTGATTTAAAGTCTATTTTATATGATGTATTTTACTGCTACTTCTGCTCTTTTTTCTTTACTGGTTACATGGAGTACTTTTTTCCATCCTTTTATTTTCAGATTGTGTCCTTATGTCCAAGATGTGTTACTTGTAGAGGGCAAAAGGAAGGGTCATGTTTTTTGTTTTTGTTTTTTACCCATTCTGCCACTCTACCTTTTGCATAGGGGCTTTAAGACTAATTACATTTAAGGTTATTACTGAAAATTAAGGATATACTGCATTCATTTTTGCTATTGATTTTTTGAATGTTTCATATCTTCTTTTTTTTAATATTCTCACCTTTCAGTTTTTGTTTGTACTTGGCTGCTTTCTTGTAATAAGCCATTTTTGCTTTCTTCATTCTTTTCATCTGTGTATTTTTCTTGGTAATTTCTTAGTAGTTACCACACATACTACATTATGCAACTTATAATTTTGATCAACTTTTAACATATCAATGAGAGAGAACATACAATCTTAACATATTAACTGTGTTCCCAATATGCTCCTATCTCCCACATTTCTGTTGGGAAATCATTGTACATTTTGTATTCTATACATTTGCTTTGTGCCTATTTCTTACAATTTTGATGTTGTACTGTTTGTGGGATTACATTTATTGCATGTATCCCCTGAAAGTGTCATGTTCTTAGTCCTTATGAGTGCTCACATTGCGTTTTTTGGAGGTCTCTCTCATTCTCTCCCTCGTTTTTTTTCTGTGTGTATAGTTGATTATTTGTTTATTGTTCTTGCCTTACCCTTTGGATAACTCCCTTGAGTAATATTGCAGAGCTGGTCTGATAGTAGCAGATTCCCAGAGCTTCTGTTTATTTGGGAATGTCTTGGTTTCCCTCTCATTTTTGAATGACTTTTTGCTTAGGTAAAGAATACTTGCTTGGCAGTTGTTTTCATTCAGTATTTTATGTGTTGCTCCATTGTATTCTGGTCTCTAGAGTTTTGGGGAGAAATTTGCACCGATTCTTGTGAAGGACCCTTGCTGTGTTATGTTGTGTTTTTCTCTTGCAGCTTTCAGAATTTTCTCCTTGTCCTGAGTTTTCAGGAATTGTATTAGGATGTGGTATGGAGTTGATCTATTTATATTTCTTCTAACTGAGGTTTTGGGTAGCTTCTTGTATTTGCAAGTTTGGTTCTCTGTCCAAGTCTGGGAAAATCTCTGATTTTTCTTGGAAAATTCTTTCTTTGCCTTTATTGTCATGGTATGCTGGAATTCTAGTAATTCTAATGTTAGATTTCTTAATTGAATCCAATATTTCCATTTGGCTGTGTTCCCTTTTTCTTTTTATTTTTTTCCTTGTTTTTCTTGCAACTTGATAGTTCAGTTATTCTTCTAGTTCACTTAGTCTGTATTCTCTCTGTTCAACGTTAGTGTTGAATATTTCCCTTGCTTTTTCTAATTCAGTTGCTTTTATTCTTCAGTTTTAGTAGTTCTCTTTTAATATATATATGTGTGTGTGTGTTTATATATATATATACACATATATATATTTACATATATTTATTTATTTCAGTTTCCTTGTTAAGTCTCTCATTTTGTTTCTCGATTTGTTTCCTGATCTCCATTATTTGTTTTCTGTGTGCTTTTGCTTTCTTTAAACATATTTAGCAACACTGTCTGAAAATGCGGAGCTCTGGTGGCATAATGCCTAAGGCATTTGACTGCTAACCACAAAGCTGATGCTTAGCGTATCTGAATTTTTTTTTTTTTTTTTGCATTAACCTGGCCTCCATAGGAGAAGTTTCCTCTTCATGTTTTCCTTTTGATCAGTCCTTCTTCTCTTGTGATTTTTGTGTGTTTTACTATTTTTTAAATT